CTTCCTCTTTCCTCTCCCTCCCTCTCTCTCTCTCTCTCTCTCTCCCCCACTCCATTTTCCGTGCTGAAGGGTACACCATTAAGCCGAGCTGATTTAAGGGCTGTCAACATCAACGTTTGTGACATGTGCGTCATCCTGTCAGCCAATCAGAATAATATTGATGATACTTCGCTGCAGGACAAGGAATGCATCTTGGCATCTCTCAACATCAAATCCATGCAGTTTGATGACAGCATAGGGGTCTTGCAGGCTAATTCCCAAGGTAAGGACTGCCCTATAATGCTTCTCCACGGTGCCTAAAGGGGACAGGACATGGCAGGGAGAATATCTCTCACTCAGTAATTCAAAGGGACCTTCCATCAGCTGGCTTGACGGTTGAACCTGCTGATTGGGAGGATGGGGGGGCTTTGCGTGGAGCAGGCAGGGGGAGAGAAGCGAATCCGGGCGCAAAGAGAGCAGAGGTTGAGGGGGGAGAGAATTTTATTTCGTTCCCCTCCTCGCTCCGTCCGTCGAATTCTCTCCCCGTGCATAACGACAAAGTTGTTTCGGTTATGCCTTGCATTGCCGGAGGTTGCGTCGTCTCTTTGTGCTGGATGGAAAAAGAGGGATGATTTGCGAGTGGCTTTGACCAGCATCTTTGCTTTGTCGACAAGATTTACATCAACAAAATGTCACACGATGCCGAAGCAACACCTTTCGGGGCAGAGAAAAGAAAAGGAGAACATATAAACAAACAAACAAACCAGGGGAGGATTTTGTGAAGATCTGTTTAACATCCGCACAAAAATCCTTACAGCGTTGTTCGGCACGCCTCCGATCTCAAAAACGCAGCGCCTATGAGCACGTCTCTCTGACACGTGTATTTTTTTTGTTGTTGTTCCTTTGTTTCATTCTGTGTTTTCCCAAGAGCGCCAAACAGATAACAATATATTAAACCCACCAATAAACAGATCACCTGGTATGCCTATAAGCTGCCCTGAATCTTGTAACATTGAATCAGACCAATCAATAATATAAAAAAATGCTGAATAAATGCCCAAATACTGCATTTTAAGCAATCATCCTCTTCCTTCCATTCAATTATCCTTCATCATTCCGGTCAATTGCTTTCATTCAAAAAAATCTACCGTTAAAGATTTCGATGGTCGATGAAAACGAAAAAATAAATTGTGACAGCGTTAAGCATCACCTTGTTATTTCACTTCCTTAATTTAAAACACGAAGGTGATATGTACAGCAAAAGCTAAGATTATATGCTGGGGAATAATTGTCTGGCTGTTTAATTGTTCTCTATTAGCATCCAACTAAACTCCAGATAATTCCATAATCTTTCAATACCGACAGAGCCATTGATGTCCACTCGAGTCTATTCAAGTTAGTCAACCTGATTGCATTTCAAGATGTTATAGGATACAGAATTTGTATACTTGTGGCAGATGGTCCCTAGAGAAGGGGGGAGGTGTTGTGATGGAGTATAGTAAAGCAGTAATTCCTCAGGAAAAAGGGAGCATATTCCAGAAAGAATGAGGGAGAGACAAGAATCTCCCAGAGTGAGAATATAGCAAAGATTTAATCTAGCAAGTTTCTGTCTATATGGTATAAACAAGCAAGTAAAGAATTTATCCCAAAGATGCTTTTTTTTACACGAGGCAACTGGACTTTCTTGTTTTTCTTTTGAAGACATTTCGCTTCTCCTCCAAGAAGCTTCTTCAGCTCTGACTGGATGGTGGAGAAATGGGAGGATTTATACTCCTTGCAGACAGCTAGTCATTTGCCTTCTTTTAGAGGGTCGTTGAGGCCACTTGGAGGTTTATCTGTGTCCTCAGGGTCACCTGAGTGGTGCAAATGGGTGTGGAGCCTTCTTGGAACTGCTGAAAGGATTTGTGTTGTAGACTGGAGATAGAAGCCTCCAGGTGGCCTCAATGACTGTGGGGTCCTTGGTGGTCTCTGAGCTCACTTGTTTTCTTGCGGATGTTTCATTACCCAAACTAGGTAACATCATCAGTGGTAGACCAAATTTAAGGTCAACATTACACATTCAATAGTAGTAGCCCCCATGGCAACACCTAAATATGTATTCCTCTTTAGAAAGTGTTGGCATCAACCATTAGCCTCCATAATTAGTCCTCTTAAATTTTAATTTATGGGGTTGGGTGCAATTCAAACCATTAGCCAGAGGAGATAAACCATTTTAATGTTAGAAGAGATTTGTCACTTGGACCCACTCTGGTGTTGAAGTCAGAATCAGAATCAGAGTAGAGCTGGAAGGGACCTTGGAGGTCTTCTAGTCCAGCCCTCTCCTCAAGCAGGAGAACCTATACCATTTCAGACAAGTGACTGTCCAGTCTCTTCTTAAAAGCCTCCAGTGATGGAGCGCCCAGGATTTCTGGAGGCAACTTCTGTTCCTCTGGTTAATTGTCCTCAGTGTTAGGAAGTTTCTCCTAATTCCAGGTTGCTTCTCTCCTTGATGAGTTTCCATCCGTTGTTTCTTGTCCTGCCCTCTGGTGCTTTGGAAAAGCACCAGCAACTATCACAGTAGAATCAGGATACGTTGCAGTGGCTCCATCACTGGATGTCCGGCTTGTCCCAACAAATCTTGGCTGTCTGAACACCGACAACGAGTTCCAGAATGGCTGCTTTGATTTCATACAAAATCAAGACACTAAAGTCACCCGGTACCTTTATGCTTTTATGCTTCTTGAAAAGGCCAGTGTCCGAACTGTTGATCAAACTCAGAAAGGTACAAAGAGACAGTTATTATACAGTAATTCCGTTGCCAAATTTTTTCAGCTGGCCTGCTGAAAATCCTACTTTATTTTAGCTGACATGGTCTTTCAAACAAGGATGTAGCCAGCTTTTGTGTGGTAGCTGCCTTATGGCCATTAGGAAGCCAATGGCGCAAACTTTTAACTGTTAGGTAACCAATAAGTTATGGGTTTATATTCCTCAGAATTAATCTGTGGCTAATGTCCCATTTTATCTATTTTTTTCCCCATTTGTTTTCATTTTTAATGTTTACTTCACCTTCCCTTTTACTGAATTTATCTTTCTTATTATTAATTTGCAATGGATAAACTCTGCGGTTTGGCTTCAGCCGTGAAGAGTGGTTTATTATGCATACTATTATTTACTACGCGTATAGTAAAATATGTATATTAGAATACATTGTTTGCTAATTTATGAGTAATTATAATACATAATGTTAATATATTGCCAAACAGATTAATAATAGGTTCTGTAATATTATTATATATTGTAATGATTCATTAATAATAAATTACAGGCATTAGTCTTTAGTTGGTAAGACATGAATGAAATTAAAGCCCCACACAGGCCGGGTGCTTTAATTTAATTTTTATTATTATTATTATTTTTTCTAAGAGGAGATTGAGAAGCTGAGGCAAATGGGGAAAATCAGATTTATCTATTCTTCTTCTTCTTGTGCCGGATCCGTTATCGGACGTTGGCGATCCTGTTTTTATCAACAGCCGCACGAAAAAGTGCTGCTGAGTTTTGTCCAAACCAGACCCTTAGATTTTGAAGCCACGATGTTCTTCTTCTGCCTGGACCTCATTGGCCTTCAATCTTTCCCTGGAGGATTAAATGGAGTAGGCCGTATTTTTCTGGGTGTTGCATTGCCTGTCCGAAATATTCTAATTTTCGTTTTTTAATCGTTTTGATGATTTCACTTGGCTTTCCCAGGCGACTTATCACCTCCTCATTTCTGATCTTGTCAACCGAGCTTCTACATAACAGCCGCCTGTAAATCCACGTTTCAAATGCTTCTGGTCTCTTCAGGTGGCCTTCTGTCAGAGACCAACTCTCTACTCCATGGAGCAGGATAGAGAAAATATAGCCTCTGACAAGCCTGATTTTCAGTCTTAGGCTTATGTCGTGACTGCAGATGATTTATCTATAGATTTATCTATAGAATGACAAAAGTCAGCAAAGTCAAGGGGGGGAAAGATGGATTCCCTTAACAACCCGGTTACTAATTTATCAGCTGCAGTGATTCATTTAATAACGGTGGCAAGGAAGGTCATTCAATGGGGGAAAACTCACTTAACCAAGGTCTCACTTAGCAGCAGAAATCGGAGGCTCCAGTTGAGTTCATAAGCCGAGGAGTCCCCGTATTTGGAGAGGGGTGATTTTAAGTACGAAGTCGAAGGTCTCCTGTCCAAACCTCTATAGAATATTAATAGTGATTGGGGCGGGGATTATTGTGTGTAGAGGCAACCCACTTTCAACCAAGAAAGCTAACACAATCCTGGATTGCGTCAAGAGAGGCCTAGAATCAAAATCATGTGAAGTATTAGTGCCACTTTATAAAGCCTTAGGAGACGGTCTCATTTGATGGCGACTAAATAAGTAACCGTGAGAAGCTGAAGTCTTAAGTAGAGGTCCAGCCATGGAGGGTGAATCTCTCTTAAGTTTTTAAAATCTCCTTCCAGCCAATTATTCCTGGGCTTCTTTTCATCCACAGAGAAAAACACGTGCCCGAAACACCAGAAGCTCTTATGCCCAAACTTATATATGCACTGACTCCTTCCTTCCTTCCTTCCTTCCTTCCTTCCTTCCTTCCTTTTTCCTCCCTCCCTCCCTCCCTCCCTCTCTCTTACTGTGTCCTTGCTTCCTATCTGTCTGCTTCCTTCCTTCCTGTCTCACTTTCTTTCTCACTGCCTCTCCTTCCATTCTTCCTCCTTCCCTTTCTCACTGCTCCTTTCCTTTCCTTTCCTTTCCTTTCCTCCTTTCCTTTCCTTTCCTTTCCTTTCCTTTCCTTTCCTTTCCTTTCCTTTCCTTTCCTTTCCTTTCCTTTCCTTCCTTCCTTCCTTCCTTCTTCCTCCCTCCCTCCCTCCCTCTCTCTTACTGTGTCCTTGCTTCCTATCTCTCTGCTTCCTTCCTGTCTCTTTCTTTCTCACTGCCTCTCCTTCCATTCTTCCTCCCTCCCTTTCTCACTCCTTTCCTTTCCTTTCTTCCTTTCCTTTCCTTTCCTTTCCTTCCTTCCTTTCTTCCTCCCTTCTTCCTCCCTCCCTCTTACTGTGTTTTTGCCTCCCATCTGTCTGCTTCCTTCCTTCCTGTCTCACTTCCTTCCTAACTCACTGTCTCTCCTTCCTTCCTTCCTTCCTTCCTTCCTTCCTTCCTTCCTTCCTTCCTTCCTTCCTTCCTTCCTTCCTTCCTTCCTTCCTTCTGTCCCTCCCTCCCTCTCATTACATTCTTCCTTCCTATCTCCCTCCCTTCCTTCTTCTCCCTCCCTCCCTCCTT